ATATAGACTCGCCCTTCAAGAAATCGACGCCTTCAAGAAATCGACGAAAACCGGAAGTGCGTGTTTTTTGCACTGTTTTTCCTGTCATGCCCATCGTAAACACTGTGTTGTCAAGTAAAATGAAGCATCTGATACAAAGTATCAAACGCGGCATTCACGTGCTTGCTTGCGATGCGTTCAGTACACTTTGTTTACACTGACAAGTCGAGGTCAGAAATGCACAATGTTTTTCTATGTAATTACGTAGTTTCAGTTTTGATTAGTGAATTTTCTTTTATCAGCATGGTCATTTTCCGAACATTTGTATAAGCCACGAAATATTTCTCATCGGAAAATCACCCAGCAGCTTTCCAAGTACAAGCGAGTGACGTCATGACGCACTTCCGGTTTTCGTCGAGATCTTGAAGGGATTAGCGTTACGGTTTGCTGCACATTTAAAGCGTTCTGTCTCAAAATGTACTTAACTGCTTGGATTTAAATTTACGGAACTTATTATTCACATGATATCACACCTATGTGCCTAATTTGAGAGCTTTAGCTGTTATGTTTTCTACATTGCCCATTCAAATTTGAAAAAGAGCTATTTTCTGTCGATTTCTTGAAGGGCAAGTCTATATAATTAATATCATTCTTAATAGCACTCAAACATTTTTTCTTCTTTTTCTGTAAATCCAGCATTTCTACATATTATCATTTCTATATCAATCGGTAGGTACATTCATGCTCATTTCCCACTATATGATTTGATTAAGTCAATTTTTGTACTGTTATGAAGAAAATAAATGGAATAATCATAACCCCTACAACACTTATTGATTTATTTTCAAAGGCACTGACTCCCTTCTAGTACCCTTTTCTAACAATTAAGTTTTTACACATTGCAAACACACCTAAATAAGACAACATACTACAAAATAATAGAGTAGCATATATGTAAAAACAAAACAAAACAAAAACAAAAATATATATATATATATAACCTAGTTTTAATCACAGGTGCTTTGTGTTCTTATGATCTTCAGACTTTTTTCAGACTGATTTAAGCAAGATATCATATAAATTTCAGTAATATAAGCTGTACATCTTGTCTGTCATTTCTTTAAGTCAATGTACATTGAACCATTGGAACAATTATAACACCCATTTTGTCTTTCACTACATAGAAATCCTAGATACGTAAGTAGAAGTTACCAGCAACAGGTTGTTAAGTGTGCTGGATTACATGGGGCAGTGCTGAATTTTGATGGTACGCCTGATACTTTGCATCTGAAATACATGTACCACTATCAGCAATCAAGCAGCCAAAGAATTCACTTATCAAAGGGTGACCTGGCTTCTAATAAGTCACTCTACCAACCCCCCCCCC